GCTGATTAATTTGTGAGACTGAAATACTGAGATTTTTGACAATACTTTTTTCTCAGTCTTTGATTCTGCCACTTTTCATCATTTTGGGATTCTTATTCCCTTTTTCACTGCCTTTTTTTTTCCTTGTTTGCATATGTTTTCTTTCTTTTCTCTTTTGAGTTGCATTTTTTTTGCAGACCATTCTTCTTTTTTCTTTTTCAACTTACTTAACTTTTCTTTTGAGAAGTACCTTGACTTTTTTCTTTGATCAGCATTTCAATCTCTTTCAAAGTGTGTCATGGAGAAATGGTTAAGTAATTTTCATCAGGTTTTTGAATAAATTGGTCTAAGGCTCAAAAGGGCTAACAATGGAAAATTCTTCTAGGTAGGCTGTTTGGCTCTAAGTTAACAAGAACAAATGTGCCTTTATCATATCAGTAATGCATGCAAGCCAGAGAAACAGATCAAGTTCTAGAAATCTACTACAGTGAGGCCTCTCAGAAAAAATATATTTCTGCTTAGGCTCAATCCTCACAGTTATAATTCAAGCTAGAATCTAATTTCAAATTTTCACATCAAGCATTATCTAATAATTTTCATCAAAACAGTTATACAAACGAGCAATCATCACTCTCAAATTCTTTAAGAAATTTAATGCTCCACAGATATCATGCTTCTTACAATTCAATCTATTCAATCACTGAGTAAGCTTTGTAAAATCTAGGAATGCTTATTCAGGAATTCACTATTTTTCTATTTTTTAATTTTTTCTAAAAAATATTGAATTAAAAATTAATTAAGAATTGAATTAAAACAGCAGAAATAATAAAAAAAATTGAAAGGTTAAGATGTCTCCCCTTTTAACAGAAAAATTTCTGTTAGACATCTCTGTTGTGCAATTCCGCAGTTAGCAGTTATCGCATATGGTATGCGCCCAATTCTAAAATTTAGAATGTTGTTGTCCTCAGCAATAAACTAAACTATTTTTCAGTGAAGCTACTTCTGCGCAGGTGGAATACTCACACACTTGTTAAACATCAAACAGAATAATCATAAAAGTGAAATGTATAAAGGGAGACATAATCAAACCATAATCTAAAAATAGCAAAAAGAAAACACTAAAGTCAAGGTAAATGGTGAGAACACTGGCGCTGACAGCGTGAATTTCACGCTTTGAGCGCCGATCTCACTAGAACTTTTGGACCCAAGGGCTCTTTCGTGGGTTTCTAGTGCTGTCAGCGCGGATCTCACTGTATCTTTTTCATTTGCTGGCGCGGCTAGCGCCATGTTGGCGCTGATAGCGCCAATTCTCAGATTTAGACTTTTTCATATGGTCACTAATTCACCTCTTACTTGACTTGTTAAAATTAAACTAACCTAAGCAAATAAAATAATTAAATAAGAAAATTTTACTATTGGGTTGCCTCCCAATTAGCGCTTGTTTAATGTCTCGAGCTTGACGTACCCCTTGTGATTATGGTGGTTGGAAGAGTAACAGCCCGTTGTACACCGGTATTGTTAACATTAATTATGATATTAAGCGCAATTACAATCACAGCAATTCATTTATAAAAATGCGAGTAAACTTTTTTCGTTATTACGCGAGCATTTAAAACAATAAAAAGCGTAATAATTAAAAGTTGTGACCATAACTGTAAACTCTTTGCGGAATACTTAATTAGACTACTTTTATAACTTATTTTACTTACTACAAGTCACTAAGGGGTTCCCATAAACCCACTTAGCTAATTTCTCACTTTTACGTTTTCTACCCATCCGAACATGTCCGGTCTTTATTTTTCTGCGGGAAAACCGCATGACGCGCGCTCCTCATCTTTTAGTATTTTGTTCTAGACTCAATTACCTTTCTAGGAAGCTATCACACGAGTTATTTCGAGTTCGTTTTCTCCGGATATCACCGTTTGAAGTTGGATAAGCAAAACTGCCAACCAACCCCAAAACAACTCCAAACATCCCTCACTCCACGAATTACTGCTGAAAATACACTCAACCAATTGCTCTCAAATTTTGATACAACAAACCAAACTTCACCTCGATGGTTATGTCACATGGTTATTTCACAATGTCCTTACTTAAGCCTATATGCGATGTATAGACTACTTTTAAACCATGATATGTTTGCTTATTTGAACATATTTTTAGTTCTTTCAAAAATAGTTGGAATAGTGAATTACACAAAAGAGTCTTTTTTTTCATGAGGTACGTACCAATAAAAATTAATATTTATTTGTTACTTAATTTTATATATCATACACCTAATTTGACCAAGAAACGAAGCAGGAATAATTTTTCCAAAACCGGTCCAGAACTGCCACATGTGCAGTAAGCAAATGGTCAGTCTATGTTCTCTGCCTTCTACAGGCCGGCGTCCAACCTATATTTTTACCAAATTTTGTCACATCATAGAGGACATCTCAACCTTCCAAACGGAGTATGGCACGTCCCTATCGGACATCTGTGGAGGGAGATATGCTCTCCCGAAGTTCACCTAAATTATGCCAATTTCTAGAAATTTCGCCAGAGTTTTCTTTATTTTTACAAAAATCCCCAAATTTGCTAATGTGATTTGGGACCTCAAATGTACCTAATAATCATTGGGTGGCACACACAAGGACCAAAAATGCCTTGGGGCACTTACAACCCATCACAGTTTATTTTACTTATACAATACGTATCACATTTCTTCCTTTATTAATACTTAATACGTTTCAATCATCAAAGTCCAATTGCATGCATTTGCTAATCATACACATAATCATAATCCTAAAATAGGCTTATTTCCCTTCCATCATATTACATATACTTTATAGTTAATCAATTCATGTACAATTTACAAGACTTCCCATGACATATTACAATTATAACTTTAATCTCCAAATAATACATGATAAAGAAACCTCAAAATGACAAAATCCAAATACAACTAGGCTTAGGCAAAAATAGCATGAACAAATATGACCATAAATCTCATCCTACCAACATATATATAATGTTCATGCCCTAAGTCTAGCCTAGGCCCAATAGCCATCAAAATGCAAAATACTAATGATACTCCGGCAATCATCCTACGGGCTTCTTGCCCGCCGCTCCTGCACAACTGTTACCTCCTGAAATAAAGCCCCCAAGACGGGGTTAAATATACGAATATATCTCAGTAACCCAGAGGTTCCGGAGAAAACTCTGCCCAATGGCTTACTTCGATGCATATAAATAATATAAAATAACATCTTGAAAACAGGATATAGCAAGGGATTTAGAGAAACTGGGGAACAAAGGGATACAAAATACGACGAAGCTGGAATGGTCGCTACCAATACCATGCAACGTCCTGCCTAATGGCTCGGCATATAAGCCTACAGGTCTCGACCAAGGCGTGTTCCTAGAACATCCAACCGAGGCACCCCTCCCATCCATATACACTCGAGACTTCCTAGTGTGCTCTTATCCAGATCACACACCACGACCCTAGGTCAACTGGAACTCCCTCTCGGAGACCTATCTAGTGGAAGTCTGCAACACCCGAAGGCAAACTGTCTACTGGCCAGAGACTGTGTACATTCTATGTACCAACATACATACTAAATGCATGATCATGTTATTCTACATTACTTACATACATTTCCTACCATCACCCTCAACGGGCATGGTGGAACGCACAAGGAGATCAATCCCCAGTACCAAGAGGTTACCTGTATAGTCCTCTTCACTTAGCTCCCAGTAATATATTCTCCGAGCTCTTTATACAGCAGAAAAGTCTCAAGCCCACTTGGTCCGGGACCAAGGGCAATCCACCGAACTCACGGTTCGGGGTTCAAATCAACGTACGGAAACCTTCAACAACCCTGTACGAATCATCAATACACGGCAAGTCTATCAAAATACGAAAACGTCAAAAATCCTCCCCTACACAATGTAGGTTCGGCCTCTATAGTTTAAATTCACAATTTATTTTTCTAAGTTTTCTTTCTCACTTTCTTAGGCATCTCTAGGTTACCAAAAGGCCATGTCAAGTGCCACTTTTCATTTTACGTCTTTCAAATGTCGTTTTGCCTAATATTTTTCTCTAGGTTCCTTTACAACTATCAACACCATCAATTATTTTCCATTGATTCTCCAACCTTCCAACCACCACACAACTCATCTAATTACCATTTAACACACAATACATCATCTAAGTAATTTCAACAACATAATTTCCTTCCTTTTCCTTAAATGGCCGAATTCAACAATGATATACTCCAAGGAATTTCAATCAGTTTTTAACTACTCCACACCTCATACTGTGACACCCTCCCTTGTATGCATCCAAGGGAAGAGTCTGCTAAAACTGATTAGAGACGTAACATTGACGTGTAAAATTCTTGTATTTCTAAAAACAATTTGATGTTATCAATTAAAATCTTGCTTGGAAAACTGACTTCACAAAATAAAAGCAGCAAGTAAATTTTTGGAAAGGCTGTCGCTGCGCAACTTTGATTTTTCTTGAAAACATCCTGTCTTGCAAAAATCATGTAAATTCGAAATCAACAGCTTAAAAAAATATTCTTTGATATATAGAAACTAAACATCTAAGGCTTCGCGTACATATAAATTATAAGCGAATCAGAGGTGAATAGCCCCACGAAACAGAACTCGCAAGGTACATGAAAATTCATTGTAGTTTTCCAGAAACCTTCTGACTTGTAAAAATCATAATAAATCAGAATTTCAGAATTTCATTGTAAAGTTTATATAATCTAAAAGTACACAACTGGGGCTTTACGTACATAAGAATTATACCTCATTCGGAGGTCTGTAGCCCCAGAACGACAACTCGCAGAGTGCTCGCAAAACAGTTCAAAAATCTGAATTTAAGTACAACAACAATTCTTTTCGCGAACTAATTACCAGAATTATAAACATCATGCTACAATTCTTTTCAAAATAGAATATACATCATGGCATGCCATTCATTAAGAAACTACATCAAGGTCAAATATTCAGAATACACTCAACAGAGACAGGGAGCAAACAACAAGGTTGTCAACAGCATAATTTAACAGAATTGTCATGTAATCATGTCATCAAACACTTCCTCAAATGCTTCTAAGTCCTCCTGCAATTTATAAAAATTGAGCCCCCAAAGGGGTGAGAAAAATCCTAGTAGTGTGGCAATAAAACCAATAATGCAACAATATTAAACTAGGTACAGAATTCCAAAACAGTCGCATCAACATTAAAATTTCGTGCATATATAACACCATTTCCTTGTACGTTCATAGCACCGTCGTGCACGTACTAACATACACAATGGATATTCCATAATGGCTCCTCAAAGGTGAATTCCAACTGTGGCCTATGCGGACGGAAGCCAAGTGTCCCATACCCTGGTACCGAACGGATGCCTATATGATGCGTGCTCAAACGTATGCATTTTTATATAAATATTCTAGTCCATGAGCAGCATGAAATTCGTGCATGTATGCCATGATATGCTTCACACACAAACAAGAAACAAATGAATTATGAGGTGTATATGCGTGACTAGATCATCATCATAATATCATATATTGTTATTAGATAAACTTAAATGTACGGTTTTTAGATTAATGGGTCTCTAGAAGTTTTATGTTTAGGAATTAATGTTGGTTAAGTGTTATGGGGGTTTGGTTTTGATATTTGTTAAATGGCTGTAAGTTTTCTACGGTTTATGTTTTATTGCGTTTAATAGCTTTTAATAGGTGTTTAAGTTATTTTTAGCAAGCTACCATATAAGGAGATGTAATCGTCATATAAAGTACAGAGCAAGAAAAGAGAGTTTGATAATAAAGAAAAACTTTCGTAGATTATTCGTTTGGTTGTCTCTTGCATCTGTGTGTTGATACCTTAACAAATTGGTATCAGAGCTATGGAAAGAGGGAGTGATATGGCACTACCTAAGTTGACGAAGGAGAACTACGAGAATTGGTGCATCCAGATGAAGGCTCTTCTCGGATCCCAGGACGCTTGGGAGAATGTTCAAGCAGGTTTTGTAGAACCACAGGACACTGGAGGCTATTCGGCGGCTCAAACTAAAACGTTGAAAGAGACGCGTGCAAAGGACAAGCTGGCGTTATTCATGCTCTTCCGAGCTGTGGACGAATCCGGGTTCGAGAAGATAGCAAATTGTGAGACCTCAAAGGCAGCCTGGGACACCTTGGCAAATGTCTATAGAGGCTGACCGGGTTAAACAAGTCCGGCTTCAAACCCTTCGTGCCGAGTTGGAGGGAATAAAGATGAAGGACACGGAAGGAGTATCCGGGTTCGTTGCCCGGGTTCAGGGAGTTGTGAACCAGTTGAAACGGAATGGAGAAGTTATACCTGACACCAGAGTGGTGGAGAAAATCCTGGGATCTTTGACAGACCAGTTCGAAAACGTGGTTTGTGCGATAGAGGAGTCCAAGGATCTGTCTACACTCACTATTGATGAGTTGGCGGGTTCTCTTGAAGCGCATGAACAAAGAAAGAAGAAGAAGGAGGAGACTCTTGAACAAGCGCTTCAGACCAAAGCAACAATTAAAGATGAGAAGGTTCTCTATTCTCAAAACTTTCGAGGTAGAGGACGTGGCCGCGGTGGACGAGGTACTAGCCGTGGTGGTAGGGGCCGAGGCCGAAGTCAAGAAGGTTGTAATGATGAGGTAGGACAATCAAGTCAACAGAACTGGCGTGGAAGAGGACGGGGTCGTCGAGGAGGTCGGTCACATTATTCAAACATTGAATGCTACAAGTGTGGCAAGTATGGTCACTATTCAAAAGATTGTAACTCGGACAAATGTTACAATTGTGGCAAGGTTGGACATTTTGCAAGAGAATGCAGAGAAGAGAAAAGGGTGGAGGAGACATCTAACCTAGCCACAGAAGGCGAGATGAAGGATGGTGTCTTGTTAACGACACACAGTGAAGGAAGGTCAGACGATGACATGGAGTGGTATCTTGACACGGGTGCGAGCAACCACATGTGCGGACATAAGCACTTATTCAAGGAGATGAGAAAGGTGGAAACCAGACATGTTTCATTCGGGGATGCCTCGAAGGTTGAGGTAAAAGGCCGAGGTACGATCTGTTTTTTACAAAAGGACGGGTTAATTGGCTCAATTCGAGATGTGTACTATGTACCCGACCTAAAAAGCAATATTTTAAGCATGGGTCAATTGATGGAGAAAGGTTACTCGGTTATTATGAAAGACCGGGTATTGTATTTGAAAGATGAGCGAGGTCGGGTGATAGTCCGAGTTCAAATGGGTAAGAATCGTATGTATAAACTGAATTTGAAATGTGTACAGGTTGAATGTTTACAAGCCGAGGTAGAAGATAAGGCGTCACTGTGGCATCTCCAGTTTGGTCACCTACATTATGGTGGTCTAACCGAGTTGGCAAAGAAGAAGATGGTGGACGGGTTACCTGACATAAACTTTGAAGGAAAATTTTGTGAGAGTTGTGTACTTGGCAAGCATGCCAGGACTACGTTTCAGAAGACGGCAAGGTTTCGGGCTAAGCAACCTCTGGAATTAATACATACCGACTTGTGTGGACCCATCAATCCGGGTTCTTTTAGCGGTAAGAAGTATTTTCTCTCTTTTATTGATGATTTCTCACGGAAAACTTGGGTCTATTTTCTGAAGGAGAAGTCCGAGGTGTTTGATGTGTTCAAAAAGTTCAAGGTGATGATTGAGAAGGCAACAGGAAGCTATATCAAATCGGTGCGTTCTGACCGAGGTGGGGAATATACCTCGACAAAATTTCTGACATTTTGTGAGGAACAGGGGATAAGGAGGTTTCTAACAGCACCATACTCACCACAACAGAACGGTGTGGCTGAAAGGAAGAACCGAACTATTCTTGACATGGTTCGGTCAATGCTCAAAAACAAGAAGATGCCGAAGGAGTTTTGGGCGGAAGCTGTGCAGTGTGCTGTGTATGTGCAGAACCGATGTCCACATTCGAGTTTAGATGACAAAACACCACAAGAAGCTTGGATCGGTCAAAAGCCATCAGTGGAACATCTTAGAGTATTTGGTAGTGTGGCCTATGCACACGTACCAGACCAGCTCAGAACTAAGCTCGAGGACAAAAGCAGGAAATATGTTTTTGTGGGATATGATGAAAAAACAAAGGGGTATAAGTTGTTTGACCCCGTCAATGAGAAGGTTGTAGTGAGCCGAGATGTAAGGTTTAATGAAGCAAATGAGTGGGACTGGAGCAATTCATCCGAGGTGAATTTTGAAGGCAGAATCTCAACACAAATTATCAACCCGGCAAGCCCTGAAGTTTCTGATGATGAAGACGAGGTACGACAACCCAGGATGCGGAGCATACAGGACATATATGAGTCAACAAGTGAGGTACATTTTGTTTGTCTTCTTGCAGACTCTGAAAACATAAGTTTTGAAGAAGCCATCCGAGATAAGAAATGGCAAGATGCCATGGATGAGGAGATAGAAGCCATTGACCGAAATAACACATGGGAGTTAGCCGAGCTACCAAACGGAAGTCGGCCCATTAGAGTGAAGTGGGTGTTCAAGAAGAAGATGAATGCTAAAGGGGAGATAGAACGAAATAAAGCTCGGCTAGTTGCAAAAGGTTATAAGCAGAAGGCTGGAATTGACTATGACGAGGTGTTTGCCCCTGTTACAAGGATGGAGACAATTCGGCTACTCATCTCACAGGCTGCTCAATACAGGTGGCCAATACATCAAATGGATGTAAAGTCGGCATTTCTGAATGGTGTTCTTGAAGAAGAAGTCTATGTGGAACAACCGCCGGGCTACATGAAGGCAGGAGAAGAGAAGAAGGTGCTGAGATTGAAGAAAGCACTTTACGGGTTGAAGCAAGCACCACGGGCATGGAATGCTCGTATTGACAAATATTTCAAGGAGAATGGACTTGAACAATGTCCATATGAACACGCTGTTTATGTTAAGAAAAATAGAGGAGACTTGTTAATTGTAGCTCTTTATGTTGACGATCTCATTTTTATGGGAAACAATGCCAAGATGATACAAGAGTTCAAGAGCACAATGACAAGAGAATTCGAAATGACAGATCTTGGTCTGATGAAATATTTTCTTGGTCTGGAAGTCAGACAAGACAACTCGGGTATCTTTGTCTCTCAAGAGGCATATGCAAAGGAGATTCTCAAAAGATTTAAGATGGCAGATTGCAAGCCGGTTTCAACTCCTATGGAACCCGGTTCAAAACTCTCAAAGTATGATGGTGGAGATCTAGTTGATGCAAGCAAATACAGAAGCTTGGTGGGAAGCCTACGCTATCTCACATGCACGAGGTCGGATATCTCGTTGAGTGTCGGCGTAGTAAGTCGGTTCATGGAGGAGCCAAGATACACACATTGGAAGGCGGTAAAGAGAATTTTGAGGTATGTTCAAGGTACAATTTCACACGGGTTACACTACCCGAGTTCAGCTAAACACAAGTTGATTGGATACTCTGACAGTGATTGGTGTGGAGACGTAGATGATCGAAAGAGCACGGCTGGTTATGTGTTTTTCATGGGCAACACGGCATTCACTTGGATTTCAAAGAAGCAACCCATTGTAACCTTGTCTACCTGTGAAGCTGAATATGTAGCAGCATCTTGGTGTGTTTGTCATGCAGTATGGCTTAGGAATTTACTAAGCAAGTTGGAGGAAAAACAAGTCGGCCCAACCGAGATTCGAGTTGATAACAAGTCGGCTATAGAGTTAGCCAAGAACCCGGTGAATCATGAGAGAAGCAAGCATATTGACGTCCGATTTCACTTCATCCGGGATCAAGTAAAGGAAGGAAATGTGGAGTTAACACACGTGACCAGTCAAGAGCAAGTCGGGGACATTTTCACAAAGCCACTGCCGACGTTGCTGCTCAACAATTGCAAGAAGATGCTTGGGATGAAAGATGGAAGAAGCATTTAAGTTTATGGAGGAGTGTTATTAGATAAACTTAAATGTACGGTTTTTAGATTAATGGGTCTCTAGAAGTTTTATGTTTAGGAATTAATGTTGGTTAAGTGTTATGGGGGTTTGGTTTTGATATTTTTTAAATGGCTGTAAGTTTTCTACGGTTTATGTTTTATTGCGTTTAATAGCTTTTAATAGGTGTTTAAGTTATTTTTAGCAAGCTACCATAGAAGGAGATGTAATCGTCATAGAAAGTACAGAGCAAGAAAAGAGAGTTTGATAATAAAGAAAAACTTTCGTAGATTATTCGTTTGGTTGTCTCTTGCATCTGTTTGTTGATACCTTAACATATATTTCATGTACTTTCAGTACCAAACTGCAACATAACAATTACTTCTCATAACAGAATTTTCCATTTTGTCACATTCATAGGCAACATACATAGAGCATATAACACCACATTAATCCAAGGAACGTGTGAGCAACAATTCACAATTCTAGACGCTAGCTAATAGTCACATTAGGTAATACCACCAAACACTTACCTCGAGTCTTTAACATTTTTAATCAAAACATCACCAATCAGCCCACTCTTTTAGAAGTTAGCACACCTAACAAACATATGTACCAAGTCAGAATTCATCACATATATTTCCTATACATTACATAGCTTCCCCATTCTCCTAAATCCTTGGTTTATAGTCGGTTTCCAGGTCAATATACCAAGCGAATTTTCTGCCATAATATTAATTTACCAATTGTCCTTAATTGAAAAAATCCAAGGTATTCAATACATGCATGTTCGGTTTTCAATCATTACTAGGTGCTTAACATATTTATTTTATCTCTTCTACACATTATATAGTGTTTTCCACCCCTAGTAGTACTTGGTTTATAATCAAATTTCAAAGCCCATAACTAGCAAATTTTTCAGATTTAAGAGTGCATTACTAATGGTTATCAAGATACTAAACCAATGTTTCTAACACATGTAGTTCCGGTTCTTTAGCCATCAACAAGTCGCTTATAATTTACTATTTTACATGGCATGTCCTACAAGCATATGAGTATACTAATGAGACCTTCATGATTCTTACACTAAACTAATTTTCTGGCTCATATTAATCTGCCCACTCGTTAACAGTACTAGAATTTAAGGTTTTCGATGCATACCATTTCGGTTTGCAACCATCCACAAGGTGTATCAAATTCTTATTTACCTAACACTATCTACAAGACTTAGGAGGCGATAAAGAGTCTTTAATATTCTGTCCAATTAATTATTACTACATGCAAAGCTAGCTTCATAAATTAATCCAAGGAAACAAGCCAACAAATTAAAGAGAGCTATTTCCATGCTCACATGTCAAATTATTTTGTGCTTGCAAGCACCATGACCAATGCTTGTTCGTATGAGCTGAATCAATGGAGGTTTGAGATGGACTTACATCTTCTTGCAGACACACAAACGGTCACCAAGCAGTCAAGGATCAGCCTTTCCCCCGTCCCTATGCTCTACGAAATAGAATCCAGTTACTCCCTCTTGTGCTGGCTGTGCGCACAAGGAACAGAATGGCAGTGAGAGTATAACTTCAATCTACATGCAGAAGGCCCTCCATCAAAGCGAATAGAATAAGGAGAAACAAGGGAGTAAAGCAAATGCAATACCTCCGTGCTTGGGGATCATTGACCGAACAAGAGAAAGAAGGAAGAGACTGCTTGGATGTTTTGCTCCTTATCATAGAACTCACGGCTTTGTTGGGTTTCAAACTTTATTTGAATAAAAGAAAATAGAAAATGAAAGGTTTTTTTGGTGAAGAGGTGTGTATCTTAGGAATTTGTTAGTGGACATTAATGTGTTTAAAGTTTCTAAGAAGTAGTCATTAATGTGTTTAGATTTCCTAAGTTAGTCATTAGTATTTCTAGTTATTTGCTATTGCTTTTAAATAGTACCATGTAAAAGGCTTGAATGTTAAAAGATATACAAAGAGGTATATTCAGAGAACTCCTTGTGTGTTTGAAGTGTTTGAGAGAAACACCATTAGAGGGCCTGTGATTCACAAATTGGTATCAGAGCTTGAGTTATGGAGAGTGTGAGCACTTCCAGTATGTCGTTGCCCCGCCTGACAAAGGCGAATTACGTGAATTGGAGTATCCAGATGAAGGCGTTGCTCGGATCCCAGGATGCTTGGGATGTTGTTTAGGACGGTTTTGCTGAACCTGCAACCACTACAGGATTTACAGCAGCTCAAACCAAGGCGTTGAAAGAGACGCGTGCTAAGGACAAGTCAGCCTTATACACGCTTTTCCGAGCTGTAGACGAGTCCGGATTTGAGAAGATAGCAGGAGCAACGACGTCTAAGGAAGCATGGGACATCTTGGAAAATGTCTATAAAGGTGCTGACCGAGTAAAGCAGGTCCGACTTCAAACTCTACGTGGCGAGTTGGAAGGCATGAAGATGAAAGATTCAGAGGGTGTATCCGAGTTCATCACCCGCGTTCAAGCCGTGGTGAATCAGTTAAAGCAGAATGGTGAGGAATTATCTGAGACTAGAGTTGTTGAAAAAATTCTCAGGTCGTTGACAGACGACTTCGAAAACGTGGTATGTGCAATTGAGGAGTCGAAGGACTTGACTACGCTTTGTGTTGAAGAGCTAGCAGGTTCCCTTGAGGCGCATGAGCAGCGCAAGAAGAAGAAAAAAGAGGAGTCACTGGAGCAAGCACTCCAGACAAAAGCAACCATTAAAGATGAGAAGGCGCTCTATTCTCAGAATGTCCGAGGTAGAGGTCGTGGACAGGCTGGACGTGGAAGTGGCCGAGGTGGTCGTGAGGTGAGAAATGAAGAAAGAGCTGAGTCGAGTCAGAGAGGAAGAGGACGTGGCCGAGGAGGAAGAGGCCGATGGTCAAATCAAACAAATGTGGAATGTTACAAGTGTGGCAAGTATGGCCATTACTCAAGAGATTGCAACTCGGACAAGTGTTACAACTGTGGCCGAGTTGGGCATTTCGCTAAGGATTGCCGAAATGAAAGAAGAGTTGACGAGGCTTCAAACCTCGCTGTAGAAGGAGATGGAGGAGTTCTTATGCTAGCCCATGGTGAAACCAGTTCAAAGAATGAGGCGGAGTGGTATTTGGATACCGGTGCCAGTAATCACATGTGTGGTTACAAACACTTGTTTAAGGAGTTGAAGACGGTGGAAGCCAGACATGTCTCTTTTGGAGACGCGTCCAAAATTGAAGTAAAGGGCCGAGGTACGATCTGTTTCTTGCAAAAGGATGGACGAGTTGGTATAATTCGGGACGTGTATTACGTGCCCGAGCTTAAAAGTAACATATTGAGCATTGGACAGCTGATGGAGAAGGGTTACTCGGTTCTAATGACAGACCGAGTTCTACTGTTGAAAGATAAACAAGGGCGTCTGATAGCCCGAGTTCAGATGGAAAAGAACAGAATGTACAAGCTGAGTCTAAAGAGCATGGAGGTCGGCTGTCTGCAAGCCGGGGTAGAAGATAAGATGGACTTGTGGCATAGACGGTTTGGACACTTTCATTATGGTGGTCTAACCGAGATGATGAAGAAGGACATGGTAGTGGGACTACCGAAGATTAATTCTGAAGGAAGATTTTGCGAGGACTGCGTATTGGGAAAACATGCGAGAAGCCCATTCCAAAGGATGGCGAGATACCGAGCTAGGCAGCTTCTGGATTTGATACATACCGACCTGTGTGGACCCATTTAAGAAATATTTTGTAACTTTTATTGATGACTTTAGTCGAAATACTTGGGTATACTTTTTGAAGGAAAAATCCGAGGTGCTAGAGGCATTCAGGAGTTTTAAAACAATGATAGAGAATGGTACTGGAAGATACATCAAGTCGGTCCGCTCAGACCGAGGTGGGGAGTACGTGTCAACAGCTTTCAAGAAGTATTGTGAAGAACATGGGATAAGACGGTTCCTGACCGCTCCGTACTCGCCCCAGCAGAATGGAGTAGCTGAGAGAAAGAACCGGACTATCCTGGATATGGTCTGATCTATGCTGAAAACGAAGAACATGCCAAAGGAGTTCTGGGGAGAAGCCGTGCAATGTGCCGTGTACGTGCAAAACCGATGTCCGCACTCAAGTGTGAATGATAAAACTCCACAAGAAGCATGGAGTGGTCTAAAGCCATCAGTGGCTCATTTCATGATTTTTGGTAGTGTTGCGTATGCACACATACCGGATCAATTGAGGACAAAGCTAGAAGATAAAAGTAAGAAGTATGTGTTTATTGGCTATGATGAGAAGACGAAGGGGTACAAGTTGCTGGACCCCTTCAATAAAAAGGTGTTGGTGAGCCGAGATGTAAAAGTGAATGAGGAAGATGGATGGGACTGGAGTAGTCCATCCGGGGTCAATGTGGAACCCAGACTAAAATCAATTGAGGTCGGACAACCTTCGACCCGGATTCCTGAGAATCCGAATGACTCAGATAGTGATGAAGAGCAGAGACAACCGAGATTGAGGAGTCTACAAGATTTGTATGATTCCACCAGTGAAGCACACTTGGTATGTCTATTGGCAGATTCTGAAGAAGTAAGTTTTGAAGAAGCAATCCGAGATGAGAAATGGCAATCAGCCATGGAGGAGGAAATAAAGGCGATAGAAAAGAACAAGACGTGGGAGTTTGCCAAGCTGCCCAAAGGAAGTCGGCCCATTGGTGTGAAATGGGTCTACAAGAAGAAAATGAACGCTAAAGGGGAGATCGAAAGATACAAAGCCCGGTTAGTGGCGAAAGGGTATAGGCAGAAGGCCGACATTGATTATGATGAGGTGTTCGCACCCGTAGCAAGAATGGAGACAATCAGGCTGTTGATCTCTCAAGCAGCCCAATTCGGATGGCCGATCTATCAGATGGATGTGAAGTCGGCATTCTTAAATGGAGTACTCGAAGAGGAGGTATATCTGGAACAACCTCCGGGATTCATGAAAGCCGGACAAGAAAGAAAAGTGTTGAGACTGAAGAAAGCTTTGTATGGATTGAAGCAGGCCCCAAGAGCCTGGAACACAAGAATTGACAATTACTTCAAGAAGGATGGACTTGAACAATGTCCATATGAACATGCACTATATGTGAAGAAGAAAGGAGGTAAAATTCTACTTGCTGCTTGTAACACCCCGTGTATACTCGGAATATTAACATTACATCGTATTAAGCGGTGCTTAATTAAAAATCGCGGAATATACTTTTTCTTTTCAATTATGACGTCATTATCAATTACCAACTTGATTACTTAATCAATTTCATAAAATATCGCCTGTATGTAAATTGCAATAAGACATCTACTGAAATACCTCAATATATAAATAAAGTGTGTATCTAAATCACGGTATTACATCTCGTAATCCGGACAATATCCTGATACATTATTACAACTTCAAAAGGCGCAAGACATAAACAAGACATAACAATACTATGTGTCATGGACAATCCCCATGCTAACCAAATAAGCATAGTAAACAACAAGTCTCAACATAAAACTCCATAAACATAACTGAAGCTATAAGCATAAACAGCATGCAAATCCAGCATCCAATCATGGCAGCATAATATAACAGCAATCTAACTCAGCTCCGGCCTCCTGCCGCCTGAGGTCTCAACATTACCTGACCCTGAAATAAGCATTCCCCAAACGTGGGGTGAGATCTCTAAACTAGAAATCTCAGTAAGACAAGGGGTCCTCAAGGATCTTCCACCCCAAGCTCACTTACATGTGCAATATAAGTTCTAAAAGCATTTATATCATTATCAGTTCCAAAACTATGTAGTGCAACAAATATCTATGGCATGTGTGTAATCACTATCTACTGGCCAGAGAAATGTAGGAATACGTCTATTCCCTACATGTAGTACAAGGAACACCGCTTGCACCTCACCCACAGCCTCACCCTCTTGTATGTCCTACATACTCAGGCTTACCGTATAGGTGGAACACCTCAATGCATATCAACAAGGCACTAACATATAATAGCTCAACAACATTTCCAAAACATCAAAATCATGTAACACAGCATGCATATACCATATCCCCATGGGACATGGTGGAACCACAACATGGCTAAACCGAGGACACGAAAGCTTACCTCTAAGCTAGCTATCCAAGCCAAGAGTCCACACAAGCTCAAAGTCCAAACAGAGCAGAATCACAATCTGTTTTAGACCAACAATTATATCAATAATCACATTCTAATATTTACAATGTTTAACTAGACATCTTGAGATTTCCAACAATATACTTTATGTCTCAATCGGAGTTGTATAACTCCGGTTATGATTTACGCAAGGTGACTGCTGCAAACGGAATTTCCAGCAACCACAACGCGACTTAAAATAGACACTGCGATCAAACCACTGATCTAATGGCTACAAAATTTACAGAGTTGTAGCCCTATGTGTTAGCTTCACATAGGTCCAAACCTCACTCAATTTAGAGCTCTGTAGCTCGAGATATCTCAATTTTACTAAACTAGGTCGTTGCTGTCACATTTGCACAAAACAGGTTTCTGGTCATTTT